GGAAACATCAATGATGAGAGAGAAGCATTGGTCGGCTGCCTCCTGTTCACTGCACACGGGGGATCGAGCCTATAACCTAGGCCTGTGCCCTGACCAGGAATTTAACCTCCTGGTTCATAGGTTGATGCTCAACCACTGGGCCACACAGGCTGGGCTCTTTTGTCCATTTTTTGATTGGATTGTTTATCTTTCTTTTGTTAAGTTGTATGAGTTCCCTATAAATTTTGGAGAGTAAACCCTTATCAGATGTAACATTGTCAAATATGTTCTCCCATATAGTGGGCTCTCTTGTTTAGTTGATGGTTTCTTTTGCTGTGCATAAGCTTTTTATTTTGATGTAGTCCCATTTGTTTATTTTCTCTGTAGTTTCTATTATCCTAGGACCGTGGTCGGCAAAATGTGGCTCGAGAGCCACATGGGGCTCTTTGGCCCCTTGAGTGTGGCTCTTCCTAAGCCGTAGGAGTACCCTAATTAAGTTAATAACAATGTACCTACCTATATAGTTTAAGTTTAAAAAATTTGGCTCTCAAAAGAAATTTCAATCGTTGTACTGTTGATATTTGGCTCTGTTGACTAATGAGTTTGCCGACCACTGTCTAGGAGAGTGATGGCAAACCTATGACATGCGTGTCAGAGGTGACACATGAACTCATTTTTTTGGTTGATTTTTCTTTGTTAAATGACATTTAAATATATAAAACAAATATCAAAAAAATAAGTCTTTGTTTTACTATGGTTGCAAATATCAAAAAATTTCTATATGTGACACGGCACCAGAGTTAAGTTAGGGTTTTTCAAAATGCTGACATGCCAAGCTCAAAAGGTTCACCATCACTGGTCTAGGAGATGTATCAGTAAATTGGATTCCTTTTTCTTTTTGCTCTTCTGATTGGGTGCTTTTTGCTTCCTCATATTCCAAATGATTGATTTGATCCTCAGAGTTCTTTAGTGTACAGTTGAATCCCTGTAAATTGTTCTTTATTTCAGTTAGTGTATGCTTAATTTCTCACTGGTCCTTTTTCATGTCTTGACATTTTCACTAAGAACCTTGAAAGTCTCATCAAGATCTCATCAAGATCCTTGATGAGACTTTCAACTATGGTTTTAAACTCTGTATCCAGTAGTTTGCTTTCTTCTATTTCTTTCATTTGTGACATGTTTTTTTTGTCTCCCCATTTTGGCTGCTTCCTTGTGTTTGTTTCTATATATTAGGTAGAATTGCTATGTCTCCTGGAATTGGTAGTGGCCTTGTGTAGTCGATGTCCTGTAGGGGCCAGTGGCTCAGCCTTGCCAGTCACTTGAGCTGGGCACTCTAGGTGCATCCCTGTGTGGGCTGTGTGTACAGTCTTGTAGTTGAGCATTGATTGCTGTTGGTGTCTCTGGGAGGAGTTGACCTCCAGACCAATTGTGTGAGGACCAGCTGCTACTACAGTGGGAGAGCTGCTATGCAGGAGGTGAGGCCCAGCTGTGAAGCAAGGCAGGCTGGTGCTAGTGGGGATCTTGGGCCTTTTATTGATGCTGACACAAGCTGCAGCTTGTTTGAGAGATTTAGTAAAGTCTGAAGCCTGAGCCAAGACAGGCCATTCATATGGAAAAGCCACTGCAAACAGCTTGGGTGGGGCTGCAAATTGGATGGGACAGGTCTCAGGGAATCCCCAGGATGGAATAAACTGTGTGGGCCAGGCTGATGGAAACTCAGATATGGCTGCCAGTCAGCCCTGTGACAGGGGACGTCTCAACACAGGAACAATGACCCTTACTAGCACCCCTGTCTAGGAGAAAGCTGCCACCAAGTTCCTGCCCTGATGCAAGACAGCTCACTTTCTCCCTGTATGTGACTGGGTCCCTCAGAGTCACCTGGTGCTGGAGCTCAGAGGAAGTGAGTCTGAGTACGTTCATGTGTTGGCCCTTTAAAAGGAACATCTGGGTCTCCAGCAGCCTCTGTGTCCCTCAGCCACAATTCCCACTGGTTTTTACAGCCTGTAGTTACGAGGACTTTTCTTCCCAGCTCTGGAACCCTGGTCTAGGGGTCTGGAGTGGGGCTGGGACCTCTTGTTCCTCATGGGCAGCCTCCATAGAGATGATCTCCCTCCCAGTTAAAAAACGACACATGTGGGTGTTGGACCAGCCTGTTCGGCACCTCCGCCCCTCCTACTCGTCTCAGTGTGCTTTCTTCTTTACTTCTCCAGTTGTAAGACTTCCATTCAGCCAGCTTTCAGGCAGTTCTGAATGATGGTTGTTCTGTATTTCAGTTGTAATTTTGATGTGGTTGTGGGAGGTGGCGAGTACAGGCATTTACCTACGCTGCCATCTTGGTTCTCTCTGGGTCTAGATAGTCTTAATCTTAATTTGAAGCATGATATAATCCCTGCAAGAGCCAGTGCATGGTAACTGGTGAAATCGGAATAAAGTTTGTGGATTATGTCAATGTAAATTTCCCAGTTGTGATATTGTGCTGTAGTTATGTAAGACATTGTAATTGGTGAAAAGGGATGAAGGATGCATTGTTTCTTTTTTCATGTGATAAAATATACATAACATAATATTTACTATTTTAACTATTTTAGGTGTACAATTCAGTGGCATGAAGTACTTTAACAATGTTGTGCAACCATCACCACTATCCATTTCCAGAACTGTTTCATCATTGCAAACAGAAATTCTGTACCCCTTAAATAACAGCTCTCTGTTCCCCCCTCTCCCCTTCTACTTTTTGTTTCTACAAGTCTGCCTGTTTTAGTTACCTCATATAAGTGGAATCATACAAGAATTATTTTGTGTCTGGCTTATTTCATTTAGCATAATCTTTTCAAGGTCATCCATGTTGTAACATGTATCAGAATCTCATTCCTTTTAAAGGTTGAATAATATATATACACATACCACATTTTATTTATCTGTTGGTGGACATTTGAGTTGTTTTTACTTTCTGGCTACTGTGAATAATACTGTTAAGAACATTGGAAAATAGTCCAGCTGGTGTGGTTCAGTGGTTGAGCATTGACCTATGAACCAGAAGGTCATGGATCGATTCCAGGTCAGGGCACATGTCTCGATTGTGGGCTTGATCCCCAGTAGGGGGCAGGTGATCAATGATTCTCTTTCATCACTGATGTTTCTCTTTCTCCCTCTCCCTTCCTCTCTGAAATCAATCAAAATATATTTTTAAAAAGGAACATTGGCATACAAGTATCTATTTTAGCCCCTATTTTCAATTCCCTTTGGTATTTACCTAGAATTTCTGGGTCATATGATAATTCTATGTTTAACTTTTTGAGGAACTGCCAAATGGTTTTCCATAGCAGCTGCACAATTTTACATTCCCACCAGCAATGTACAAGTGTTTCAATTTCTCCACGTTCTCACCAACACTGTTATTTTTTTTTACATTTTTATAATAGCCATCCTAATGAGTATGAAGTGTTATCTCATTGTGGCTTTGATACACATATTCCTAATGACCAATTCTGTTGAGCATCTTTTCATGTATTTATTGTCCATTTGTTTATCTTTGGTGAAATATATTTCTTTCAGTCCTTTGCCCATTTTAAAATCAATTGTTTTTCTGTATTCTTACAACTGCATGTGAATCTGCAATTATCTCAAAATAAAAAGTATGATAAAGAAATTGCTTGATTTTTCTCAGCCTTTAGCTGTCTTTTCCTAAAAGCATCTTATGCCCTTTGGGGAAAAAGTACCCCCAATATCTAGTTTATCTCCTCCCAAATCTCCACCCCATTTTTCTTCACTGCCTTTTTAGCTCAACAGTGCCTTCAAGCAGCTGTTTTAAACATTTTTGTCCAGCTTTTCTGTCTCTCCACATGACCTCATCTACCATTATTGGGAGTCTCTTTTTGTTCAGTTATGGTTTTGTAAAAGAAAAAAATATTTAAATAAATTTAAAAGTAATTAAAAAAACAAACTCTTCATGTAGTTTAAACATAACACTAAGTCTTTACTCAGTAAAAACATTTCTGCATGAGATGGAGATAATATGGACTAGGTATATGGGAGAAATGGCAGTTCGTTCTCCATCTTACAATATTTTATGGGAGAAAAATGTACTTAAAGCATTCTTATTATCAGAAAAAATACACTTATCTTATTAGAGTCTCTTACTTAAACATCACCTCTGCAGAGAGGCTATGTTGGGGGTCCCGCTTGATAATTCACTAGGAGGATTCACAGGCCCCAGAAAAATCAGTAAAAGAAAGAGGTGCAGGGGTGAAGTCTGGAGGAAACTGAATCCTTGGAGGCACGCATCTGGTTGTCCAGGGTTTTTTATTGGGGATCTTCACATAGACATATAGCCCCGCCATGGGCAATCTCAGTTACTGAAGCTCCAGACCCCACAGAGAAAGCAGGGGCTCGTTATAAATCACATTTCAGCATAAACTATCTGGATAAATAAGTACAGTGTGACCCAAGGCCTCAGGTATGAAACATACTTTTATCAGACAGATCAGTCCAAGGAAGAGCTTGGCTCCCAGGTGCCAGACAAGGGCCAGGCAGGAAAACAGGCCTTTCTTGAGAGTGTGCAGAGTCTGAGCAACCTATGCCTGCTAAATTAACCCTTTTCCGCCCAGAGGTCTATCCTGACCAAACCTGAAGAAGGAAGCAGCCCTTGTTACTCGCTAGTTCCCCATCCTGCGATATGTTTCTTAATGGCATTTATCACTGTCAGAACCTGGGCTATATAATCGTTTGTTTATTTGACACTAATTAGACAACATGTATTATTTACTGTCATTCTTTCTCCACTAGACAATAAGTTCCATGAGGCCAGAGGCTTTGTTTTGTTCACTGCGGTATTCCCAGTGTCTAAAACGGTACCTGTAGTAGGTACTCAACAGGTATTTGTTGTATAAATAAATGAGTAAAAATGATCATGTGTGCAATTACTTAGGAATGCCAATAATGTTGCCTGGATCTAAATTTTGGGACGTGCTGTCACTGTATGAATGACAAGTTCCTCATCCATTTACTTCTCTCCTGAACAGGTCTACAATTCAGTAGCCACATCTTTCCCTCGAAGGTTTGTTTTGCCCTTACGTGTCAGTTTGAACGCCCCTGAGGGAGAGAACCTCAGCCCGTTGTCCTACTCCTCGGCCAGTGCAGTGAAACAGGCTGATGGCAAGGTAGGCTCTGAGCAGATATTAGACGAAGACATTGGATGTTAGTGTCGTTTTTACTCACTGGCCATTTCCCACAGTGTTTGACGGACAGTAGGTTTCATAACATTCAGCTGAGCAGGCTCAGGTCCAGGTACATCGCTTGCACAAGAACCGCAGAATTCGGTTTGGGAGTGAGCACTGTTGTTTACTGCTCTCTTCTGTGTTTTGAAACAGATATACGCAACTTTCGAATGGTTGTAAAATGTTTAAATATTTGAGGTTGGTATTGACCACCCCTGCCTTTTAGATAATTTGTGCTTATCACACGCATCTTATTGGGTAGCTATCAATGTCTTAACTTTAGTAGAATAAAAAGCCCACTTGTACCTCCTATCAGCTTAGTCACAAAACCAGATAATCTTTTACGCATTTTTACCCATGATGGAAAGAAGAACAATATAAAAAATTACATAGGACCTCCATTTCCAGAGTGTTACCCGCCCCCCGCACCCCCCCCCTCCCCCCCGACTACACGGAAGAAAATAAGTGAAGATTAAGCAATCACTTACAAATCTTTTGGAACCTTTTCAGATTTGGTGCTCTTATGAAAATCTACACCCTGAGAACTTAGAACAGGAAGGAGGTGTTGAATTTCCCCAGATCAACTATGGCCAATTCTGTGGCAAAAAATATCGTTTCTTCTATGGCTGTGGCTTTCGGCATTTGATAGGGGATTCTCTGATCAAGGTTGATGTGGTGAACAAGACACTAAAGGTAATGAAAATCTCTTTTGTTTTCTAAACCCTGAAAGGACCTGCTCTGCCCTTGGAATGAGTTTCTGTTTAGATTAAGGTAGCTTTTGAGCTTCTCTAATATTTAAGCAGCTCAGCTATTTACTTTTATTAAATTTGAGAACCATGGAATCACCTAAGTAGGGGTATGTTCCCTCCAGGGAATCTAAATGAGTCACAAGCCCAGAAATAGAATTCTGAGCTTGATGTTATTTTGAGAGAAATCATGGGGCTAAGGTTGTTGGCATAACTATATTTCAGGTTGGTAGGAAATTACAATTTCACAAATTGTGTTTGATGATGATAGAATGTGCAGCTGCAAAAGCTCCCTCTCTCTCTCATATATTCAACTCAGTAAGTCTGTTTTTTGTGTGTTTTGTTGTTGTTGTTGGAATATTATATTGACAGCCAAATTCATGCTGGGAGGGGAAAAAAGCTATTGAAAGCTTCCAGCTCATAACTAACCTTCCAGCTCATAACTAAGCTTCCAGCTCATAACTAACCTTCAAATATTTTTTTGGGGGAGTTACAGGTTTGGAGAGAAGATGACTTTTATCCTTCAGAACCTGTTTTTGTTCCAGTACCAGGGACCAGTGAAGAAGATGGTGGGGTTATTCTTTCTGTGGTGATCACCCCCAATCAGGTAAATGTATTTCCCTGTTACCAATCAGAAAGAAAAGTAATTCTGGGCCTTTTGAGGGCTATATGAGGGATATATTCAGTGAAGCTGTCGATTTAGTCCAGTGTGGCACCTTCTCTTTTCTTCCCGTCCTTACCATTTATGTACCCTTTTATGATAATCCATACTTTTTATTGGTTTAAATTTCTATTTGTAGAACTATGGTAATTTATATTCGCATAGGAATGCAGTTACAAACTACTTTCAGACATATTATTTTATTTACCCATTAAAACAACTTTGTGGGATACCATTTACACATGTGGCATTTGTAACTTAAGGAAGCTGAGAGAGATTTGTATCAGATCTCATAGTAGTAAAGCCAGTATGTAACCCCAGTCTTCTGACTTCCAGTCTAATATTCATACCATCAGTGCTGCCAGTTTCGATTGAGTGACCCTAAAGTCTAATGTGGTGAAGCCCGGATCTGGTGCCTCAATAATATCTAACATCTCCTTTGGGGCAATCTTGTGGCAAACAGGCTCCCCTTGAATACCAGCTCTGACGAATCCATAGAGGCTGCCTGGGAGGTAGAACTCTAACCCTTTCAAAGGGCTTGGTGAGGAATGTTCTCTGATCAGTGAGTCAGGCCTGCCGTGGTTTAGGAGGGGTTAGTCCTAATACCATGTACTTGCCACTCCAGTATTCATACCAGGCAAGTTTCGGTCTGCCTTGCAGTGATATGTTTGGTCAGCTCCCAAGTAACACAAGATGGAGGGAGGCAATTCTAATTCGGAAGAAAGAACTTCCGTGAAACAGGTAAAAAGATCCTTAAACAATCACCTATGAAGGTGATGGATATAAACAATGTAATTTTTCCACTCTAGGTATGAGCTTCCCATTCACTCCAGTTCAGCAATTCAGCAAACATTTAGTGACTGGGCAGGCAAGGCGCTCTACTAGGTACTGAGGATAGCTATGAGATGAATAATACATGATCTCCCTCTTAGAAATTTTATAGCCTAGTGGAGGAGAGAGATATATTTTTAATAGAAAAAAAGGAATTTTTAATATTATTTCTTTTCTAGAATAAAAGCAACTTTCTCCTAGTCTTGGATGCCAAGAACTTTGAAGAACTGGGCCGAGCAGAGGTGCCTGTGCAAATGCCTTATGGGTTTCATGGCACCTTCATAGCCACCTGATGGAAGAACCATGAGGTCTGGGGACCAGGTTTAAAATGAATGTGCTCTGTACAAAAGAGAGACCGAAAAGGGCACCTTACTTTCCAAACCATAGACATCTGGTTTCTAAATTTCTATTAAAAAAAAAAAGAATTCAAGAAATAATTATGGTTTTATATTTTCTTAGGGCTCTTCCTTGAAAACACTGAGCAAGTGTTGATACCACTTTTTGAAGAGAGTTTTACATTTGTATTTACTTGATATATCTTCCTCTCGGCAACGAGAATGCATGAAAGGAAAACTAGAAGTGGGTCATTACCACCACCAGATAGGTAGGTGACAGAGACCCTCACACTTGGCAGAAGAAACCTGAATAATCATAGGTAGTGGAATATGAATATAGATCTGAAAAGCACCGGGTTTTTCTATCACAGCTTGCCTGTTACCACTGGCCTCAGGTGCTCAAGCAGACAGGAAGCCAGCGGTGTCACCCTGATGGCTTCCTTTAGACTGGCTGCTTCTCTGCAGTCCACAGCAGATGCCACTGCAGTTGGACCACCCGTGACCACCTCCCACCCTGCCCCTAGTTTGGCCTTGGCAGGGTGTTGTTTTGAAGTGTTACAGGATTCCAGGGCAGGAGGAATGGGGGAAGCTGAGAGAGGAAAATTAGGACAAGGCCAAACATTGTGGGTAATTTGCAACTGGCCTGCAAACAACAAACCAGTATCGTCCCCAGGACACTCTGGGAGCAAATAGTTAAAGACCTCCCTGCTGAGAGAATGCAGAAAGGGAGGGGGAAAGGGAAAGGAAAAAATGGCACTTTTACTCCCGAAGCAAAGCCAGCAGTCTCAGGGCTCAGCAAGAGAGAGTTGCCAGGATCCTGGGAAGACCACAACAGGAAAACCTTGAGACTTAACCTATACCAAGATACTCAGCAAAAGAATCTTCTGAAACCTACAGACAGGAGGAGGGTATATTACTCCTCGAACTTGCTCCAGACACTCGCTTTTCCGGATTAGCCGGGAAAGCCCATCTGTGCTCCAAGCCGGATGAGATAGAGTTGCTTGCTTTGCTTTGCTTTTTCAATAAAGGTGCATGCTTTAATCACTTTAATAAACTGGCTGTTCACAATGCAGTCAAGAGCTCTCCTATAAACTCATTTACATGAGAAGACAAGGATCGAGGTTAGGGACAGCCCTCTCCCACTAGCTCAGGGGGCTGTCCTGTCTGATAACACCTTTCTGGTGTCAGTGAGAGGTGCCTATAACAGAAGGACATTGCTAAAATCAGGCATTTATTCTAACCTCCAGGTGTCTAGTTCTTCAGAGATTAATGAAAAATCATTAGTTCTTCATTTATTTGGGCAACAGGTTGTACTAGAGACCACGTAATCTCCACATTTCTAAACCCCACCAGTTTTCACTAATAGCCCAAATCTGCCAGGGTTTGGCTCGGACGTCACACTCTTGCCAACACCCTCAAGTCAGGTTTCCATCTCTGATGTTCTTGATCAGTGAATTGGGCCATGGAGTGATTAAATATAATGTCTCACCTACGTGTTGAGATATGTGGATAG